TTTGGTCGGTTTGAATTTATTTGTGAATAGCCCTAGTATTTATGTAATTAGATCATATTTGGATTTTGCAATCTCATCCAATTAATAATTGAATCATATTGAATTCGGATTTTGACTCAATCTGATTTGATTAAAATCCAAATTCAATTATATTATAATATTTATTGATTTTATTATATAAATTTATACAATTATATTTAAAATTAAAAAAATATATATTTTATATATTATATTAGCATACGAATTTAAACATAATAAATTCAGTATGTTATATTTACAGTAATATATTATATATAAAAATTGAAAAGTAATTAACTTTTTAATTTTTCTTTTGTATTTAAAAAATTAAAATAAAGTTAGATTAAATCCAAATCCATTAGGATTCAAATTCAAATCTAATGTCTTCAAATTTAATCAGATTTCATATTGAATTTAGGTGCAAATTTTCAATAATCAAATTGAATTTAGATTTTGCTAAAGCTAATCCAATTACATTCCTAGGAAAAAAAGTGCAGCAGATTCGGACTATGGGAAAACACCTTGGCCGAGTATTTGGATGTATCAAAAGCTCTTGACGCAATAAAATGTTGTTTGTAAAAAAAGGCCCAAGTGGCCAATTAATAACAGCTGAAAGTAGCTGAATTAAATAATATATGTCCTTGGTTTTTTGCTTAAAAAAATAAACCATTAGGTTATAATAGGTTAAAAGTTCAGATGCCATCTTAATTCTTACATCTCTAAAAGAAAACAGTAATAAATTCACAGTTCAGACATTACCAAATGCATTTTAGACGAATCCGGATCTCCTCCAATAAAATACGTTCAACACCCCATTAACATAATATGGTTGGTCTTTAAAGGGGGTGTTGAACTTAAAAATAAGGTTTAAAGTATCGATACATATCAATTTGTATTAGTTAATATGTATCGTATCGATGGCTTTCTAATACATCCCTACAGGGATTGTATCGGGTCAGACTATAGTTTAAAAGGTAGATAAGACTTAAACTGATCCCTCTAAACCGATTTAAAAAAATAAAAATCAAATCAAACATAAAAAAAAAAACACTAATACAGTCCAATACACCATACCAGCATATCGGCCTATATCAATTTAAACCCTTTGACAATCCATATTAATAGGGATATTCGGATATATAGGTTTATACGAATATGATATAAGTAATCATGTCAAACTTTCAAACATGAACACGACCTACTATTACACGTGTTAATACAACACAACCCATATAACCCAAATTAACGCAAAACCAACACGATTAACCAATTAAAAGTAAATAATAAAATAATCCATTATGTAGACAAATTCATAAAAGCCATTGCACCCATAATATAACAATTGAATCTTCAGGCCATTTTAGAGTTAAATGGATCAACTCGAAATTGATACATTTATTAATCGTATTAAACAACAGGTTGACATAATTTTTGATAAAAACACAATTAAACTAAACCTAAACCTACTAATTTCCGTGTCATATTGAATCATATCATATTCCTGTGTCGTGTCAAATTTTACTAGCCTTACATACAAATATATAAAGAGTAAGGAGTTAAAATTATGTAAACGAGTTAAAAAAAACACTTAAAGCCAAAAAGGGCATATATTGTTACTATTCTCATGATGTTATTGTTACACCCCAAGAGGTGCCTTAAGATAAAACAAGCAACAAAAGATTCTAACTAGTTCCTTCAATGTTTCAATTGGCTCAAACATAAGGGACGGATGATCAGGACCCATCCTCAACTTGCCCAACATAAAACATCCTATCTGTACCAAAAGTCAACATGCTTCTACTGTTCAGAATAATTGCATCAAACATGGGTTCCATCATCCATGGCTAGGGATCTAGCAGAGTGATGCACATTATACTTTTCAAGCAACATGCCATGTGAGCCTGTGAGGCTCCTAACTGATCATCAGCAACTCAGAAATGCCAATAGCTTAGAACAGCTTTTTAGCCACCTGTGATGCTTATCGAATTACAACTGTACACAATACACACGCGTGTCGCTAGTAGGTAGCTTGTAGAACAGATTTGAGCCTAGCAATTGGCCCGGAGTTGGACCCATTATCAAATCAAAAGATGCCAGTAAGGGGGTGAGTTCATGCTTAATTGGGTTGTAAATGGACCCATTTACAATCGCTGGTTTGTGAACATTGAAATCTCTACGCCACTATGCCTAGGCTTTACACGTTCTGCTAGGGCACTATTTTTTTTTTTTTCTGGAACTAAAATTTTCCTATATCATTAAATGTTTACATCTGTTAGAGAGTATCGGTTCATATGCTTTCGTTAAATCATAAATTCTGTATTTGATTTCCAAGAGAAGAAAGGAAAATTACAGAGAAGGAAAGTAATCATAGATTTTCTTACATGATTTCTGGTTTCCTTCACCAAGAGAAAATCAATGAGAAAATGCTAAGGGAATGGTATTTTTTCTATTTTGAATTTTGGATGGTGAGAAAATAATGTCATCTGTCTCTCACAAAGCTTACTTTCCCATAATAAGGTTAGGTTATAGATCCCCAGTTCTTATCAACATCATTTATAGCAGAAGGAATGCCACAACTCACAAGATAATGACCAGAGTGACTGTCTTTTGCATAAAGCACAGGATATAAATATAATAAATGCTCTTGATTTCACAAATTCTTATTCAGAAATGACCACAAACCCTTTATATTGCATTTTCAGATTGACCCTTGTCTGTGTATATGTGTATATAATGTCTGCCATCAAAATGTCAATAAATATCTGAATCATTTTGATCTTCCCCAATGAAGAATTCTAATTAGTTTGTAACAATATATGGCAGATTAGAATCCAGTGGATTTCAAAATGTAAAGGATATTTTTAACAAATTGCATATAAAGATTTCTTGCCTTGGTCAGGGTTGGGAGAGTTGAACCACCAACCACCAATTCCATTCTTTTTAGGTAATAGATCATGAAATTCTAAGCAAAAATTCCAACTTTAAATTTATTAAATAGCACAACCACTATACAGAGAGTCTTTGAGGGAAAAAAAATAGTAAGAAAAGTAAGCTGGATATATTTTCTTGGATAGTAAGCCTTGAGCAAAATTCAATTGCCTAGTCAATGTCCAACCAGTAGGGAAAAGTTCTACTTCAGTAGAAAGTTTTAACATTTCTAACATCAGTTCTAATATTCCATTAAGACTGACATCCAGGATCATCTTGCTCCAATTTCCCAGATAAATACCAGCAACAGATAAGTATTACAGTCAACAACATACAGGGAAAAAAATCATGAAGAATAAGATCATAATAAACCAACGCAAGAAGTTTAATCCTTTTGCTACCTGAATCAGATCTCTTACCACAATACAGATAACAGGTTTGGACTTCCCAGTTAGGTGTTTCTTGAATCAAGTGGTGTATAACATCAACTGGAGCCATCTCAGCAGGTTGGACATTCAATTACTCTACCAAGTCATGTTCTCATTCCTTTGGCCAAAAGAAGGAACCAATGGTTGAGGAAATTTTTGGTAAATTCTTGCTTGGTCCCTCTCATAGGTCTTCTTGACAATCCACAGCTTGTCACTTGAATTCCATCACTTACCATCCACTATCCTCATCTGAGATATGCGCCTTAGTCCTTAAAGGATCATAGATGTCCAGAAATTTTAAAACAGTAATCTAAATTATGAAAATTAAGTGAATACATGAACCGCAAGTATAAGTACATAATCATACATTTTTGAAGTGTGCAGAGATAGGCCTCTGAGAAAATGTCTCTGTATGTGAGATACACAAGATTATCTGTTTACAGGTATGAAGTGATTCTTTTCAAATTAAAAATTTTTTTGTACAAAAAAATTAATATGAACAAGCTGAAGTTATATACTTATCAGTATGAACAACTCTATAGCACTTGACAACTCAAGTTCAAAAAGAATAATTCTGAAATTTAATTATAATAGGAAATTAGAAAATAACGAGTTAAGGGGCAGAAGAGCTTAAACCCTAAAAAGAATTATAAGCACGTTTTGATAAATTTAGGGCTAAGGTTTGATTTAATGTAGGAAATTAAAAAACAGTAGACAGCCTAGTCAATAGAGTGGGGTGGGTGAAGCCAATCTAACTCAACCCAACCCAAAAAATGAAAGTCAAGTTGGTTGAAAATGGGCTAGGGTTTGTCTTGGGCAACCTGACCTAACCTAAACCCCATGTATAGAGTGTTGAAGATCCAGTTGGTTAGGGTAGGGTCAAGGTTTTAGAAACTTGAATTGGGATACAGTTGACCTCAGCTCAATCCAACCCAGTCCAGGTTGCACCCATACCAAAAGGTCAAGGGTATAAGCCTAAAGACCAGATAAGTCGGTCTTTTCCCTCTTTATCCCATTAAGCTACATTAATGGCCAAACTACACCTCACACTTTATGTTGAATCCAAAATTCTAGTGCCAAAAAAAAGTGTTGAAACGTTTGATTCATTTAAAATTAAGTTCTTTTATAAGTAAATTATAAATGTCTGCCATTCTTCATCTTGGTTTTCTTGTACATTAATCCAGAGTAAATTCTTGGGGTGGAATGAGAAACAATATAAAAGAAATCTCTTCCCTTTCTTCCCTTCCAAACTCCATCTGTAACCAAAAAAGAATTATTCTCAGTAATAAGAAACCACAGGAACCGAATTGAGCAAGGTAGTGTCTGAACAATCAACACCATCCACTAAACTATTCTGTATAACCTGAAATTAGCTGTTAGAACTTAGAACCAAACAGATTTTCCTTCTGCCTCGTATATGTTTTAAATAATGTTGGCTTCTACCTCTTATATGTTCCAATGATTTTCACTTTTTCAGTTTTACACTTTACTGGTTTGGATTACTATGAATAAGCACTTCATGATGGTTCTTCCTCTCAACTGAAACTGTTCATTTTTTTAAGATGTTCATCATTCATTAAATGCAGATTCTCAAATTTCTCCCACAGATTTTGGTAGTCAATGATTTTCTTCCAATGTTACATTGTTAATTGTTTTATAGGTAAAATAGTATTACCATCAACAAGATCTACATACATAAATTACAAGACATGATTGCTATGCTTCATGTACAAGATGTACACCAATATTCAAAAGAAACAGAAAATATAATGTCATGACAGTTATTACAGAAGTGGAAGGTTACTGAACTTCACATGGGGCAGAAGTATAAGGTCACTGAAAACATAATGTCTTGGGGCACCTCTTTCCACCAAAGGTACACTGTTTTCTTTCTTCCAAAATCTCCAATAGATATTGAAGGGAGCAAAGGAGCAAAAATTCCAGAGAAGCGACCCTCTTTCCTGAACTCCTCTAATAGAGCATTCATCGAAAAAGAGGTGAGTGGTATCTTAGAACCAACCATCCCCTCAAAAGGAGAACTACACATTAGAGAAGAATTTACAGGAAGCAGTAACCTTGGAAAACTCACAAGTAGGTGTGACACTTATTCTTCCTTGACCTGACATAAGGAACTTGAGTTTTCCATATTTTTGCCCCTACCAAATCAAGTAATCAGTGGTGAAAATCTTATTGAGATTAGCAGTCAACATGAACAAACAAACTTCAGATGGAACATTTGAGGCCAAATCAACTTCCAATGGAATGAGACACCCCCCCACCCCCAAATGAAGTTTTATGGCCATTGACTCTGCATTCTAAGTTCCTCCAATTTCTTTCAGGAATATTATATCCCTTCCTCGTCTTTACCTTTTTCTTTGCCATGCCACGTGGTTTCATTGTTGTATGGAGAGCCTTTAGATTTCTTCATCCATCCCCTAACAGTTTGTCCCATCCATGTTACTGATAGGTGAGTTTGACCAAAGTCAACAATTCCTGCATGACCTCAAACCAACTTTTGGTCTATTTCATTTCTTTCGAGGCATTGCTTTTTACCTTATCTGTTTTATATCCTTCCTCATGATAATTAGCCATTGTTAAAGCAGCTGCAATTTTTTATAACTGGCAATTTGGACAATTGTCCACCAATGGATTTTGACACAAATAGTCATGTCCTGTTGCAGTGAGCCCTTTTTTTCTTCTTCCTCTTTATCTTTTTCCATGCGGACCATGCCACAGTCACTACTTCATGGTTACCTGTTCCTCTTTTATGATAATCATGCTTCTTCATCTGCATGCTCTCCATAGTATATTTTGCTCACAATTATTTGTCACTGTCAAAGCAGGTGCCAAATTTTATGCAACTTGTGATTTCTGATTCCATGCTATTATCCTCCCATGAATTTTGATGCAGGCCATTATTTTTGTGGGCATTATTATTCTTCCTCCTCTTTAATTTTTCCTGTCCAGTAACTCAGGATTTTCTTTTGTTTCCAAAGCGGCTTCTAGCTATTCTTTGACCTTCTGCAATTTCAGAGGATTTATAAATCTTCTTCACCATCTTCATTTTCTTCTGTGTTATTATTGCTTTTTTTGTGATTGTTTGCAAGGAATCCTCCAACTTTTGATTGGCACCATTACTTCCAAAAGACTTCACATTCGTTTTGCCTTACTACACCTCCATGGTACTGTCCTTCAATGAATTTTGACCTGGTTCATAATCCTCAAGGAGATTGATGCAAGTCATGCAACTTTTCCATCTTCAGTCCTCCCCCTGCCAAGCCCCTTTCTTCATGATCCTTAGTTGTTTGAAATTCGGTCTTCTCATTTCTAAAAACCAGAAGTTCTACTCTATCCTCCAGCAGCCTCTGGTATCAATTTATTATTGCTTTCATGGGCATCATATGTCTTCCTTTTCCTCCATCGCTTCTCATTCTTTTTTCCCTTTTCCTGTTCCATTCTCTTGTTGTGAGTATTTTCTTCAACCACTGAAGCAGCATAAGCAAGCAATTGAAGGCCAGATCCATCCAGAATCTTTTCACCTAGGTAAGTGTATTCAAGTGAACTATGCTTCTTATCTGCTACTATTTCTTCCAGCACGTGCACTTCCACATTATTTTGTACTGCCATTGAAGTAGTTTTGATACCTCTAGAAGTGGTTTCCTTTGGTGGATTCTTACCCAGGTTATCATTTTCAAACTCATTGTGCATCTTCTCCCTCACAGTTTTATTTGCAATAACCCCTTCTTCCTCATTTATCAACGCTGCCTCTAACATTCCCTCGACAAGATAACCTTTTCCCAAGGAAGTGTCATGTTGTTTTCTTTTATTCTCTTCATGAGGACCATCTTCTGCATCGTCTACCGTTATCTTCAAGTCCATATCATTGAATTTAGAAGGAAAACTGTACATCTTCTTTATCTTCCTTCCCCTTTTCAACTTCCCCTTTTCTTCCTCTGGCCCTGCAACATTGCATAAACCATCTGAGTTTTCTTTTCTCATAACAACAATTTTTTTTTCCGGTAAGTTTGTAACTAGAAAATTTTCCTACTGATGTAAAACAAAAACGATTTCATATTCATGATTGCACTTCCTTTTCATGGTCATTTCGGCAAATTTATTCTTTTACTTCGTAAAACATTTACATCGTCACGCAGTATAAATAGATTTCCTTGCAGAAATCAACAAACTCTAAACAGGGAAAATCTCACCTTGATTTCTCTTCCTCGCCTTCTTGTCCGACTTGAATTCAGAACCATGAATCCTCTCTTTCAAGTCCTCCTCAAGGTATATAGAATACAAGCTGCGCAGTCCTCTCTTCTTTCTCTTCTTCAACTTGTCACTCTGCTCATCTGGTCCTATACCATTTAAAGAACGATCTAAGTCTCCCGTCCACGTAATAAGAAATTGATGATTGTTCTCTACTATTCGACAAACAGAAGAAAGATTCCCACCATGATAGTTAACTCAATTAGACCAAAAACAAACGAAATATCAAAACCAAAACCAAATAGCAAAAGGACGCTGATGCGTTGAGACAGTGATATTAAAACACCTGAACATATAAGAAGACGTACATCCATTCAAGTTTCTAGGGTATTTCCAAGCTTACCTGATGCCATGGCCATGGCCATGGATTTGGAAGGCTGCATATCTCTGGTTCGAAGTTCACTGATCCGCACTTTCTAGATTCTTCGCTCTTTCCCATCCCACGTCGAGCTCTGGTTTTATAACGTGCGTCTCGCGGTGCTGTTTGTAAAGCGTAATAGAGGCCAGTCAACCTAACTAACGACCCCCCTAACCGCCATCCCAACACCCAAATTTCACTCACCTTCTTTATGTTTTCAAATATTTCATTAACCTCCCCTATTTTTTTCAAATGTTTTTGACCTCTCCTGTTATTTATTATCCCACAGGGCCACAAACAACAGGAATTGTCAAAAATTCCCTTTCTAATTCAGTTAAATTTAGTTATTCCCCCCCTCCCAAAAAAATATTAATTCACCACTAGGTCCACTACAAAAATAAATAATTTTCACAATTTTAATGATAGAAATGGACAATTAAGAATTTAAGAGAAATAGATCTCAATAAATCTCTTTATTAGGGTGGATAATTTGGTCATGCTAAACTTTAAGAACAACTCTGCCTTAACGTGCATACCTCCCTTCGCTTCACGTCCAGACCACCATGTGAAAAATCTAATCCATATATCCTAACGCTGTAACTTGGGCCGGGTTGGCCCGAATCCAATCCGAAAAAATTGGGTTGGGTTGGGTCATGTTGATGCTCGACTTTATTTCGGGTTAGGTTAAGGTTGACCCTTTAGAAAACCCAACGCTATAGTACTTGGCATACATAAATATATGTTATATGTAATATCATACATTGATTTGTTTAGATGCATGATATTGTATAGCCCCCACCAAATAGTATCATGTATTTCTTTTAAGATAATCACTTCATTTAATCCTAATCAAAAAGACTAAAACCTCAATAACATTATTTTAAGTTTTTTGAAAATTTTATTCTTCATCTCCTCTATTTTGTTTGTCACCCAAGAAAGATCTATTGTAAGTCATAACTCATAATAAACTATAGTCATTTCTTAAATTTGTTTTTCTGAATTTTGTACCAAAAGAATAATAAAAAAAAAATGTCAACAAACAAATACTAATAAAACATAAGATTAATATATAGTGAAAGTTGAGTTAAGATTTAAAATCGAGAAATTCTATGAGATTTTAAGGGATGGGAAGAAAATTGGGTTGAAATTGACTTCAGGTTGGATTAAAACTTTATACCACTTAATGACTGATTAACAATAGGTACTAAATTAGCATACTTTGAAAGTTCAGATACTAATTTAAATTATTGTATTTTAAAGTTGAGGGACCAAAGGGACCAAAGTGGCACTAAACCCAAGTACAAACACAAATATGTATAGTACAAAATAATACAAAATATGAGGTTTTGTCCTGTACATATTTATATTTGTACTCTTTCCAAACTGCGCCTTTATAACAAAAGCTGGTGCCCGATGAGAAGAGTCCACGTTCTATAAACGTAATAATCAGAAAATTTTATGGACTTTTATCGCTTATTTAGCAATGATGGTTCCAAGTTTCGACCAGATAATTGAGCACCGTTTGGCATTGTTCCTACCTGTTTGTATTTCCAAGAAAATCCCTGTTCCCGAGTAGGAATCCTGTTTCTAGTTCCTGAGCAATATTCCTCAATACAGATTGGATTTCTTCTTTTGTTATAGGGTTTCGATTGAATAAGCAGTTCAGTCCCTCGTCAAATAGCCACGGACACCTTGTATTGTCCCAATGCACCGGTGAAAAGTGCATCGTGTGTGGGTGGGAGCCTGGACTTGGAGCGATACAAGTGAGATAAAAAAACGAGCGCAGGGAACAAACTTAGCTGCGGCCTGCAGTCTGCAGTTTAGTCATATACCCTTTCAATTACAGTTTGATGTAAAAATGGTGCTAAAGACTTGCAAGAAATGGGGCCTAGAAAATAACAAATCATACATTTCCAATATATAAAAGCTACTAGTTCATCATAAACCAAAATTGCTGTTACAAGCGGAGAAGCTTCTTAATTGCTCCATAAATTATGGTATGGTATTAGCCTCAGTTTATCTCCCAAGGAACTCACTATCCAGACTACCTTACCAATAGCAGGTGGTTGGGATGCAAGAATCAAGAGCTGCCCACTCTATACATACAACAGATTTGTTCTTCCCTTGGTGATGAAATCCAAACTCATCCTCCACAGCCACAGGCCTGTAAGACTAACAGATTGCCAGTTAACATAGCAACTAAGACTCACAGTGACCATGCACTTACGAGCAATGGTCTTGGATAATTCATAAACCTCTTCAGAAATCTGTACAGGGAACAGGGAACAACCTTTGAATCTTGAAATCAGGTCAAAACATATATATTAATCGGTGCTAATTTGCATTCCCTACGAAGCCATTTAAGCAAACATGATTTGATAGGAACTAATTTTATCTCTAGCTTAATCTGTGGAACCCACCACTGAAGATGAGGGAATCGAGAGAAAAGAACTATTGTCATCAGGTTGATATTGGTATATCACATGTTGTGGTGCGGCGCCCATAATCTCAAGGTAGAAGGGCCAATATGAATTTGTGTTTGTGATGGGACATTGACCAAATGGATGGTGCTTCACATATTGTTGAACATCTTCAGCCATGGCTAATCCTTCCAGATAAACTCGAAGATCACCTCCCGGGCCTGTCATAAACTGCAAGTGAGTAGTGCTTATCTTTATTTCATCAACTGAAATAAAGAGAGAATTAAGAAATTGTCAAAAGGACAATAAAGACAGCCATCCAACACCTGCCACACATGCAAGATAATGAATCATTCCAATTGGGTGTGCCAAAAGTCCAAGGAATCCAATTTACCCACAGTTTTATCTGTTTTTTTTTCTATTATTTTCCAATCCCTTCAAAAGAATTCATTATACATATATAATATAAAAATTCAGATAAAATCTCAAGCCAGGAGATTTTTGTGGGATCTACATGCTCAAACTACCCTCCACATGTGCCAGAATTATTACCATATAGTTGGAAGACTGTCCTTCTTTACCATGATGAAACCAATTTTTTTCAGGGAAAAAATAAAAAATAAACTTGCAAACAGTGCAGGAGGAAATCTCACCTAATGAATTATCTTCTGTATCCTGAAACCTGTATGTATTAGGGAAGATTGCTGTGTATGGCTAAACAATGAAAAGAGGAAGAAAATAGACAAAAATAAGGACAGAATCCAAAAATTTACATGACACAAGGAATAGTAGATTAATAGGATAACAAAGGACAGGAAAAGGGCTTACAGGATTACGCAAGGCTTTATAAGGAGAATCATCCAGCAACAAAGTGTTTGACTCATTGTATTCTCCCTTTTCCCAAGGAAGATGGGGATCATATTTATCCCAGAGTTTCCTTAGCTCCTTTAAGACCAAAGGTTTGTGCTTGTTCTCTATAGTATTGAAACCCGTTTCAGTGCAGTGGGATTGGTCCTGCATGGAACTAGTAAGTACAGCAGAAAGCAACCATAGTCTATCATGTAAATTAATCTCCAATATTCAGAATTTGTGAAATCATACAGGCAACCAAAAGTAGCTAATGGATTTACCAAACAATTTAAGAGTATTAGTTTGACAAAAGTTTCAATTGGTTGCAGCAATTAAGAGTATATCAGGTCAAGTACTCTATTTGATTAGTTTGGAGGCTTTCTAGCAGCTCAGTAATAATGAGGCTGCAACAGAAACCAAGTCTACTTTTTGGTTATCATCAAATTTCTAGATTCTAATTGAAACATGTGGACACAGGAAAAAAACTGCAGTTCATCCACGAGGAAATAGTTCAAGAAGTTGGCATCCCATGGATAATTTAAAAGTCATAAGCTGTCAAATAGTTTTTGGAAGATGAACTCAGCCTTGAGCCATCAGGAACTGAATTAGGGAAATAACTTATGTGTCACATAAAGAAACTCAGAAGCTCAAAATCAAATATTTTGGTCAATGAACAAAATAGCAGGTGTGCCAATTCAATCACCTAACCACTTCACAAAGGATAACCAATAGTTTTGTCACCAGTACAGCCCTGTACCATTTCTGATGTTTTTAAAAGGATTAATTAGAAGACTAGCTCAAGCATTGACATACATGCAGATCAATCAGTTATCACTACAATTAAGGTACTAGAACTATTGTATCCATATTGCAATCCAGTAGCAACTACCCAGGTTCATGTAGAGAGGTAAAATTTGATAAGTGTAATTGGGTGGTTACTTATAACCAACTTCAGAGCACTTTGTAGTTAATTTAATAATGACAGATTCAAACCATGAACAAAAAACGTCCATCTTAACAAATATAGGACAGTCAATAAATATGCTAACACAGGCTTAGTGGAAAACTAAATAAAACAATGGATTTTCATATTAAGTGTTCAAACATCTTACCCAACAAAATAGTAGTCTATGTTTCATTTCTCCCATCAGAAAATCAACTACAGTATCCACATTTTTCCTGCAAATAATCAATACACGGCAAGCATCACCATCAGTAAAGCCCCCTGTCTTAAAAGACACCAGCACCCAGAAGAAAGTGCCAAAAGTAGAAAAATTAACAATATTTCAAAAGAGAAAGTGGAAAGGTGAAAGCATTGGTCAAGATATATTTTGAATATTACTTTATTCTTGATGACCAAACGGCCACATCAAATCCGCCAAAACAGAACTCCAGGAAATCATCACAGAAGGGCCTTTTAAAAACTGAAACAAAAGAGGCATTCTCATTAAGACTAACAAGTTATTATAGAAATGTTATCTTCAAGTATGACAGTAAAGATAAAATTACCAATCAATTCTTACGTGCTTTTCTAGAGACTTTCTTGTCGGGTTTATATCCATCTGGAACAAAATTAACAATATCAGCAAGTAATCCATTTAGATCAAGAATAAGAAGTTTTCTCTTAACATGACTAATTGGTACTCTTTTTGAAGGCAATATCTCCATAGAACTTTCTTCTGTGTTGGTACCATCAACCAGAACGAGATGTTCTACAACATCAACATTAGATGAAGAAGGAATTGTTTGTTCCATAGTGCATTCAGTTGTTGATGCCTCTAATTTTTCCTCATTGAAGATGTGATATGTTTCCATTGCCTTATCCAATTCATTTACAGCCTCTTCATTCTCTTCCATGCATGTATTGTCTAGTTCATTGGAAGAGAGTTCTCCTACTGAACTGTTTTGTATACCATGTATTGTGCTGTTAGGACTCTTCTCCATGGCTTGCTCCATGTAATTGAGTAAGGAAGCAAACAGCATTTTGTTCTTCCTCCGATAGGTTCGAAATGTTTTTCTCCTCTTGTAGGTTTTAAGTCTTTTCTGACTCTCATCAGGCTTGTTGTACTTTCCTGAATTTGTATCAGCAGTGTCTGTCAAAATGGTAAGCTCCTCTGGAAGTAGATCAGTTTTTATATGCAGTTTCTGCTCTTTCTCAAGATGCTTAGTATTAGTTAGATCCCTGCTGCATAGAGCATCATTCTCTTGAGGTGAAAGTGAACTATCGGTTTTTGGTGCAGTAGACTTATTCTTTTTTATCCTCTCTCTCTTCTTTTGTTTTGGACGCACTGCAGGATGCCTCTCTTTTATTTGCACAGCTTCATTGAAGTGTCCATTGGTTGGTGATTTTTGAGTCAGATTCAAGGGTGTGCCCTCTTTCTCAGATACCTCCAAATTCTCATCTTGGGTTTGTTTTCCGTTCCTTTCCTTTTCTGTGTCAATCTCCCTATCCTTCATCTCCTTATAGGCCTCTTCATTGTTGGTAGAAGAAGCCATTTTCCACAACTTCTTTCCCTTTTTTAGCTTACCCTGCTTTTGGTTTGTTCCTGCAATATTACAAAAGCTAATTAATGTTTCAGGTTCCATGTAAGAAAGAACACCAATTCACATCTCTTTTGTTCGAACAGGTTGTGAGAAAAACAAAAACAAGAAACTAGCATTGAGAAAACTAAAGCAGGTGCACCAGCATCTCAACATTTCTATAAACGGGATCATAAATGCTTGCATATATATGACAACAGATTTGCTGCTCGGATTATTCAGTAAATAAGACTGAACAATTAAGGAAACTTCCATGTAAAAATTTGATTTGGGGCTCAAAATTGTCCAACAAGTTCCTCCTACTGACTCTATTAATGGGCCCAATCTATTTCCAATAGCCCTTGCCCCATGGTCAGCAAGTTTAACATTAAGATATTACCTTCAACAGTCGGTATTGCTTGTGAAAAACACAAATAAAAGGTGGGGTGAAGGGCTGATACATATTGGAGAATTAAATAAGTGGTGAATCCAGAGGGTCTCCTATTCGGTAGACAGCTTGGTTTGGCCATGTTAAGCTTCCATGTGTGAGAACTATAACAGGTCATGTAGAGAAGCTACCTACTTGACCCAACTACTAAACCTTCATATAATGGACAGATAGAAAGAGAAAGATGGATGGAGGAGTAAAAGCTACACTCTAACTTTGCCTAGATGTGGCAGAAATGCACGATAGCTAGCATAACCCTAGGAAGATTTGTAGGTCAATCATTTATTCAATCAGATTGAATTAAGAACTCAGGGGGAGAAAGAGAAAATAAAAGAGAAAAGATCAAATAAGGAATCTAATCACTGAAATCTTTCTCAGTTCACTGCCATACAGACTGATTCACTAAGTACTTTTTTTATCAGCAACATAGAAAAAAAAATCATTAATTATGAGAGAAACATGATTACAACAAGTTGTGAAAGGAACCAGACACAGAAGCTGTTCCAAATCAGTACTACATTTGAGCCCAAAACATATGTGTTCTATGTACCCCTTGCTTGGCTAAGCTATCTGCCAAGCTATTAGCAGTCCTCCTCACCCATTTCACTTGGGTTAATATGTCCTGTGACAGTCATTTGAATTTTCTGAATTCATTCCTCAAATGCCATGCCACCCCTTCCCCTTTAACCAGCCACTTAACCACAGTTTTAGAATCTCCCTCAATAATCAACCTACTAATACCCAGTTGTTTTGCCTTCTCAACCCCAAAAACTGAAGCCAAAAACTCTGATCTTACCACATCACCCTGCTCCACAGGGCCGGAGTATAAGCAAGTATGTTCCCTTCTTCATCCCTAATGACTCCCCCAATACCTGAGGGGCCTGGGTTACCCAAACAGCTCCCATCAAAATTCAGTTTCTTCCAACCATTTATTGGAGGAGACCACACCTCAATAGATCTTTGTTTTGTAGTTGAGGATGCAGCAATGATACCCCAAGCTCTGAAGAAATCTTCAATCTTGAAATTCAAAAACAGCTTCAGACTTTTTGCCCAATGAGCTACTCTCAATGTTATAATTTCAACCAAGGCTTCCTTACTTTGTTCCTTCAAAAACTCTTGCATTTCTTTCCTCCCACATAGTCCAAATTAGTGCTGCTCTAGTGCATCTCCACAAAGTCCTACCTCTCTTTTTTGTACAGCTAATGGTAGTAGGGCTAAACAAACCCTCCAACCTATCAGGAGAAAACCAATTGCATCCAAAGAGAGAAGCAAACCAATCCCAAAGAAAGCTAATAAATGGGCAAGAGATAAGAAGATGAAACACAGTCTCACCATTCAACTTGCAAAGAAGACACCAGTTGGGAGACAAACACCAATTTGGTCTCTTCCTTTGAAGTAGATCAAAGGTATTAATGCTTCCATGAAACACTTCCCAACAGAAGGCACTAATTTTAGGGGGAATGGGAGAACACCAGATTTCCTTGACTGGGAAAGAATAAGAAGAGGTGGCAACCAGAGAACGAAAGGAGAACTTGCAAGAGAACTCCCCATCAGAATTAGGACCCCATACTCTAGAATCCAAGCCGCCTTCTGATTCACTAACTACTGGCTGAAAAATTAAAAAAAAAAAAAAGATAAAATGTAAAAGATGGACAAACACAAATTATTTATACAACACAGGAAAAGCATTTTTTTATCATTCAACAGCATAGAAAACAAATAAATGGCAAGTATAAATAAGGGCTGAACCAGAATTTCTCTTAGAGTGAAAGTAACTGACTAAATGGGATATTGTAAGAAAACACTTATCAAAATCATACTAGATATTTCATGTTTATATCATTCACAGTATATCAAAAAATGAAACACCACAAAATCAGAAAAACCACCCAAAAGTAGTGGTAAATAAAAAATTAAAAGTTAAATTTTGTTTTTGGCCCATTTTGTATTCCACTTAATTTCTGTACTCAGCCATGCTTCCACCAATCTATATTTTTCTTTTTACTAGTTTTCAACTCAAATACGATTCAAAATTTAATATTGGATCAATGAAAATCTCATAAAAGAAAAAGTCAAATGCCTGTAAAGAAGAAAAAGGAAAATAAGGCAATTTATACAATAGTAGAGTCTCTCCTTAAAAGATATAATCATAAATTTGGTAAAAAGTCTAACTTCGACCTGTATGTAGAATATGTACTCTTAACTATCTAGTAGTTATAATCCTAAACAGCTCCCCCCCCCTGCACACGCGGCAGATTAGAGAATGCTTGAATATAGCAAAAAAATGTGGCAAAAGATCCATTAATCTACATTTTCCATGTGGCTCCATTTTCAGAAACAAACAACAAAATCTAGGAAATAGTAAAACCACTATCCTTTTCACCCCATATCAAAGAAAGCCTCAATGCTTCTTTAAAGAGGGAAAAAGGGATGTGATGGTGATGATTATTGAAAGAAAGTGTCCATTTTTTTCTTTTTTTTTTATCCATTTTCTTTTTGAGAAAAGAAAGATAAATACCAGGGGGAGAGAGGTACAAAAGGGAAGAGAATTCATGGGTCTATTTGGCAAGTTCCAAGTTTTATATTTTGCTCTTTAGTAGTAATATTGAGAGAGTTGGTTTTTAATGGACTACTAAGTTTTTATCTTTCTTAACAATGGATATGGCATTAAACAGAACAGACTGGCAAAACAGGATTTATGTAGCCAAACCCATATGGTTGGGATAGGTCTTGGATAATGATGATGATTAAATTTCTACCTTTTCCTTTAGTAATAAATCTAAAAGAGGCAATGATCAAAAAAATAAATCTAAATGAGATGAAATCAGTGATCCAGCCACTTGGCCTAAAGGCTTAAATGGAGGGTGAGCTGTTGTTTTTTCTTTTTCTTCTTTGGTAACTAACAGATTACAAATGGAAAAAGAAAATGTGTACCACATGATATCTTCCTAAAATTTTAGAAAAGATAATTATAGCTCTTGGAAATTTAGGAAGGGTCTTACTAAATTTCTTAAATTGGTTTTTTTTCTCAAGGAGCATATAAATTTCTTTAATTTTTTAGGGTCCTTTTTACAAAATTTCTTAAATTGGTTTTTGATGAGGGCGGATTTGGCCCTCCAATGACATTATGGCACCTGGCACCTCATGACAACTAAGTGCAGCCTCTTGACAACTAGGCAGCTCGCCACCAGGCAGCTCGCCACAGACAGCTCGCCACAGACAGCTCGCTACAGACAGCTCGCCACAGGCAGCTCGCCACAGGCAGCTCGCCACAGGCAGCTCGCCACAGGCAGCTCGCTATAGGCAGCTCGCCCTTATGTAGCCTGGCACCTCAGAACAACTAGGTGACACCCGAGACCACTTTGGCAACAACTTGCCTTTGCTAAGTTGATGGTGTCCCACCAGGCGTAGCCTGGCACGAGCTGGCAGCCTGGCCCTGGCACGAGCTGGCAGCCTGGCCCTGGCACGAGTTGGCAGCCTGGCCCTGGCGTGAACTGGCCTTGGCACGAGTTGGCAGCCTGGCCCTGGCGCGACCTGGCCCTGGCACGAGCTGGCGGCCTGGCCCAAGCGCGACCTGGCCCAGGCACTGACCTGGCGGCCTGACACAGGCGCCAACCTGACAACCCCGAGGGGCTCACCATCGTACCCCGCATTTTACGAGATTGTGACTTGTAACGGCTATATTAGCTCACCCACTCCCCGAGTCAGGCGGAAATGGGCAACCTTACCGGTTGGTGGCTTTATCCCCACCTAACACGAAAGCAAGTCCCATCACAGCAGGAATCCAGGAACTGCTCCACCTAACCCACGAGGACTCCAGTATATAAAGACCTCACACCCCAAGGGAGAAGGTATGCGAAAGATGATGGGTAACCTCTGCTCTCTAGCTCTCTCATTCTCTAATATCATTCTCAGCTCTCCACTAAGTGCTAACTTAGGCATCGAAGTGACCTCGTCGGGTTAGCCACCCCGGGTCCTCTGACATTTGGTTCCTTGCAGGCCTCTAAAAGAGCAACAAAGCTCATCAAGGTAGCTCACCTCCAGGAAGCTCATCAAGGTAGCTCACTACCAGGCAGCTCATCAAGGTAGCTCACCACCAGGCAGCTCATCAAGGTAGCTCATCAAGGTAGTTCACCACCAGGCAGCTCGGCACCAGGCAGCTCGCCACTAGGTAGCTCGCCAACAGGCAGCTCGCCACCAGGCAGCTCGCCACCAGGGAGCTCCACTTCAGCCTTTGAGTCACAGGCCACTTGGGAGCAGACGAGATGACGAGGTACTCAGCCAAAAAATTGACACATCACGAAAAAATGCGGCGTGACCAAAAACGGTTACATCAGTTTTTTTATCAAAGGAGCATATAAATTTCTTTAATTTTTTAGGGGTCCTTTTTGGCAAAAGAGGGGTCCATATCTTGGATCAACAAGAAAACCTACATACTAACCTTTTTTCTGACACTCTCCCACTCCCAAACTCAACCTTGAGAATAATTTGTTTATTGTTTATACTTTATAACATTTCTTGAAAAAAAAGAAGTATAACGACAAACAACATCATAGTCAACCACAAATAGTTTTTTTTTATCAGTGTTAACAAATAGTTAAACAATCAACCTACAATTGCAATAAATGATAACAAAACCTTTTTGGGTGGGGTGATAGTAATTTATTGTTGTAATCTTTTCTCAGTGATTTCTTATCACCTTTTATTGTAATCTCTTTTTTATTTTTATGAACAATTTTCTCTTACTCTTAGAAAACTGAAATGAAGAAAAATACACATGGAAAAAAGAAAGTAGCAAAAGCAACAAAGCTTTGGTCTCTCTTTATGCATGATAAAAATTAAGTTAAATTCAATAATTCATGTTAGTGCTAAGCTCAACTAGCTTTATTCCCAACTATCTAGGGTAGGCAACATGAATCCTGTACCGGTGCTCTATCAAGAGCCATGTTTTCCATCAAATTTTTTTTTTGATAAATATGTTTTCCATCAAATTACAAGTCCTTAAATATCTTTTATCACTTCAAACCACAACAATTCACCTCATTGGTGCAATCACTTGTCATCTATGCAAATGACAAACCATCTGTCAACTCTTTCTCATCATGTCAGTAACTGGAGTTACTCCTAAATCTTCACTAATGCACTCATCTGATTTTGTCCTTTATAATCTTGCCACTCATCCATTTCCACATACTTATCTCAAATAATTCATGTTAGTGCAAGCATATTAAATTGTGTGCAGGTATATGGGAAAAGGCTCACTAGTTGAGCCAAGTAGGGGACTTCCCCATACAATTTATCATATTTCTGTCACATGAAGGCATGACATCACCTATCCAAGCTGTCCACCAAGTAGGAGACTCTGGATTCGCCACCTATTCAATTCTCCAAACTCCACTCAAAATCATCCCTGTACCCCACTTTTTATTTGTGTTTTATGTAAGCAACGGTAGCTGCTGATTCAATATTTTAATTTCAAACTTTCCAAAAGGAAGGTTTTATTCTAAGGACATGACCAGAGCTTTTTAAGATCAAATTCTGTCTATTGACAGAATAACTAGAGAAACGTGTGGAGCATGGCGCTAAACCAAATTTCCACGAGGAAGATTTCTTGGTAACTAAGCCTTTTTCACTGAACCATCTGACTAGAAGATCCGATCCTATGTAGATACCAAAATTAAATTTCATAAAATGGCCGAGCCTGTGAGCATCTTGAAATATGCAGTAGGCTCATAAAATGCTTTGATAAACTGAATATGGCATTAAAGGAATCACTTTGTTAGATTTCCAGGTTGCACCCATATCCAAACTGGCCAATTTCAGAAAGAAAGAAAAAAAAAAACTACAAAATCCCGGCTTAAATTAACAAACTGGGGAAAATCTTGCCGCCGATACTGCAGCCAGTGCTAAGAAAACAGGCAAACAAAAACAACAAATTATTCACCTGTTTTATAACATTCGTACATGATATAATGGTATTTTGCATGTTCTCCTCTAGTCACTAAAACTATAAATCCTGCAATTCTCTCTTCCTTTTCTTTTTAATTTATTTTCCAAACTCCAGCCGCGTAGGAGGACGAAAGGAATAAAGAAAAGAATTGAACATCTAACTCATCTCTAACAACGCATTGATAGATACATCAGTACTACCAAGTAACAACTAGCATGTTTCTTCTTCAATTCCCAAGATGCGGATCCAACTTTCGAACCAAAGTAATTTCTCAAAGTAAACAACGATCCCAGTTTAGAAGCATTCCAAAATTAGCAATGAAAATTTACAGTCGACGAAATAAGATCGATCCAAAAGCAGGAGAAGAGGAAAAAGAGAATACGTCGTAGTCAAGTGGGAGGAATTTCTGTTGTTTTTGAGAAGCGTACCTGATGTGAGCACTTCGGCTCACTGCATAATAGGACGACGCTCCGTTACTTGTTCCTGACCTTCCTTGTACTTTCTGAAGGATTCTGCTGTCGCCATGGATTTGACGAGTTGAAGCCCAAAAAAAAAAAAAACCTTAAACGACTGGACCGCTCTTCCGCCTTCGTAACTCGTAAGAATGTCGAATCTTCGTCGTCGTTTCGTCTCCCTCAATGGCTCAATATAAGGAGCAGTAGGGCAGCAACGAAATTGGGATGGGCTGGCCCGAGCCCATATGCCTCAACCTGAAGTTGGGCCTCCATGGAATAGAATGGCGCGAGAGAGGGACTCTGGTGGCTAGAATTGGGTTTGAAGTTGAAAGATATCCTTTATTCTCATTAGGGTTCGGATCGGAATCGGCTACCTCCGAATCCGATCCGATTATTGAAATTCCAAGTCCAAATATGATCCGAATCCAATATTTTGGTTTTCAGATTAAATCGAATTTAATCCGATTCCAATATATATAAGGAAGTCTAGAAAATTTTTTCCTTTATTGAATTTTTTATTCATGTCATCTTCGAAACAACCAATGAAATGCACTTTCCCAATAACTTAAATAACCTCTTCTCCTAAACTATCTTCCCCACTATTCCCCACTTTCTCCAAAATTATTTTTAATTCCTATTTATCATCAAAATTATCTTTAATTTAGTAGAGGGTTTCTCTCCTAAATTATCTCTAATTCATATTTATCCTCTCCCTTACTTTTTATCTATATCTATCTGATGATGCACAATCTGACCGGTCTTAGCTGTCGATGATCTTGCCTCTGAACTGAGTAACAGGGACCTGAAACGGGAGGAGAAGAGAAGCTCCGGGGAGAACCCGGCGTAAGGGCTCCGAAGCTCAAGTTAGAATCCGTCAAAGGCAAGAATAACCAGATAGCGCAAAAGTTAGCATACCTCATCCCTGGGGGGGTAGAAGCCTTTTATAAC